AGTTTTTTTTTTTTTTTTTTTTTTTTCTTATCCTATATCATTTAGATGGCGTAAATTGTTGAAAATCTGAGAAGTGAAAAAAAAAAGTGAAGCAACACGGCATTTCTACACAATAAATATCAACAGACAAGATGTATCAATACCACGCTTATACAGATAAAAAGAGTTCGCCACTGATAATAACCACAACCTAACACAATGAAGCAAAATTAAATGATTTCAAGAGAATTACCTGAAGATTTGTTGCATACTGTGAACAATAGTCTTTCATTGTACCATCCCAATCCGTGATAAATATTGGTTTCTTACCGGTAATCGCTTCCGAACTAACAAATGTGTAGAGGAATCTAAAAGAATCCTTGTTTACAAACAAAGCCTTGTTTTGTTTGAATCCTTGTTTCCACAAATGAAAGTCCGAATAGTTTTGCGAAAAAAATTGAGAAGAAATAGTTTCAGAAAGTTACTTCACAGTATCTTTATATTCTTTTACAAATTTTTCTTTGCCCTGCGGATGGTAACTTGCAAGGATTGAAATTAAATCAACTCGAGATATTATGACTGGCCACGATAAGCTTGGTTCTTCTCTTCGGATATTAATCAATGCATCGAGATATTTCAAGTCTTTCTGCAAATAAGATGCTTTCCTGAACTTTGAAATATAAACTGTTTTTTAGTTAGTTAGAAGGGCTTATAATTTCCTCACGTTTGCGAAGTGATAGTAATCCTCGGCTTTTTGGGGCACAAATTGCTTTCCTTCGTATTTTTTTTTCGAACAATATATAATGAATTTCATAATATATTTGATATAAAAATGCTGATAACGAATTTGAGAAGGCTTGTGATGATATCATGACAACTGAACGATTTAAAACTATAACACAGCAAACACTAGAAGAAGACATACTTCAAGACCTCGCGTTTCATCTCCGATATTTATGCTCAATTTTGTCGTAAGCGTACACATTTCACGTTGGAAAGAATGAGTATGATCATCAGTTAGTTTTTCATAAGCTCGTTTTAATATTTCAATATCATCCTTCTTCAAATCCTTTCCATTTAGTAATGCAAAAACTATCGCACGTCGTGTTTCTTGCATCTGAAAGCACGACTACAACATTAATCTTCTCGGACCACCGGGTATAACAAGGTCTTCACGGACTACAACTAGTCAAACTGTCGCTATGTAAAAAATGAGAGATACTGAAAACCGTTCATAATTTCCACCACATTATCCTCGAAGAATAAAATCGCCAAAATGTTGACCGATGATTGGGAAAGTATATGAAACTTTGAAATGCATGACAGGAACGCAAACCTTATACATGAGTTTCTTAAATTCATCAACGGTCTGAACATTATCATTATCGACTATACCAGCTTGACCCACTGATGATGAGTTCTGCTCCGTGCTTTTATCAGTTCCTGAAGAGTGAATTACATTAACAAGAGAAATATCAAAAATAAAATTAAATAAATCAATAAATTATATTACGATCTGATTGATTTCTAAGTACATGTCCAGAAGAACAAAAATCGACTTCCAATCATTTGCAAACATAACATTGAAGAAAGATTTAATTCGTCATCTTCTAACCTTCCCCTATTCCAACCTCGCTCCGTCTCCACTGTCTGTTCATTCATTATACTAACTCTATAATAGCTACAGCAGTTTTATATATTATATGTTTGGTTTAATCATTTTTAGAAGTTTCTGCAATCAAGAAAAAGTGCCTGCATGTTTTGCAAATATATTCACGGAATTAAGAAAGGGAAAGGGCTCAATAAACTTATCACAAAGCGCAACTGCGGTGGGCTAACGGATTAAGCCGAGCAATTTCCAACCATTCACTTTTGGTGACTTGAAGTCTTTGAAAAAGTATGCCATATGCAGTTCCTCAGAAAAAGAGAATTATCTTGTATTGACAAGTTGAAAAGGCGATCATGCAACATCTCAAAACAGACAAACCCGATTCAAACGCTTCTTTTCCTTCTTCTTCCGTCTGCTCGTCTTTTCCTGCTTCATGCTTTTGTGATTTATCACTTTTTCGCTTTTCCTGGTCTGTAACCGCTTCCGTCATTAAGCACCCTCACACGAACGTCTTTTGACGTCACCCTATAAAAACAACAAAATAAAGTGCCATTCAACTCGGCGAACAAGAAACTGGGATTTGAAAAAAAAACCGAAACATGTGGACCATCGCTTATAATATGCTACTTTATAAAAATAAAATATAATTGAATCTGACACATAAACCAATATTAGGAGCCTTCCCATCCATATATTCCAATCATTAAGCAAACCGCTAGATGAATATAGCGATTTTATAATCTCGATAGAGAATCAAATAAGAATAATGATACTAGAAGAAAAGACACGGTCAAAGATCAGTGCGCAGTAAGAATTGTTTTAATTACCAAACTTATATCTCGTAAAGAGCCAATAATCCAAGTGATACCTAACCCAAACACACAATATTTGCTAAGCGATACTTTGCTAGTTGTCATATATTCCGCTCATATGCTATTAATAACCAGTACTATGATGATTTGACAAACCGCCTACAAACTAATTACATGTTCTGCACATTTTAAAGTATTGTGATCTAAGATTCAAATCTGCAGGAAGAATTTTCTACAGTGTTGTACCCAGACTAGTGACTAACTGAAAGCAACGTAAAACGCAATATAAAAGGTTATCGTCGTGGTGATGACCTAAATTTTCAAAAAAGCAACTATGTATTTCAACC